AACCCACACAATCTGGGTTGCAAGGCAAGAGTGATTAAAATAAGACTCTGCTTGGAGCAAGATATTGGGCCTATTTCTAACCCGTGTCCATTGGCAGGAAGGGAATGGGGAGGAGGGTTGGATTCATAAATGATGTCAGTGGTGATAGCTGAGTAGTGGCTTAGTATCCAGCGAAAGGATATTAAAATGATGTCTGGGTTATCACCAATGCCATGCTTAGAATCAGACAGAATAAGCAGCAATTTCCTTTAGAAGGAACTCTGAAGCTAAGTTTGGTTCATTTGAATTTGGGTTCATGATTTATACCATGTGTTCAACACACTCTGTGTTTTGCAACATGTCTGCGATAAGAAAAATCTGAGGCATCCAGATTCTTTAAAATCACTCTGGTCGAGTTGTTCCTGAACTTCTAAAGGCCTAGCCCACAGCAGGTTAGAAGTTTTAAGCGAAAGAAAGCATTCATTCATTCACTCAGTGAATTTTTACTGAATGTCTAGGACAAAGCATTGTTCTAGATTCCATAAAGGATGTAAAGATGAAACAAATTAGCATCCTGCTTTCAAGGACTGTAAGGAACTTACTGTCAGTAAGGGACATAAGCCATATATAAAAATAATAGTACAGTTGTTTTATGTCATAAGAAAAAGGAAAATATGTTTATTGATGACTTATTATGTGTCAGGCAACATGCTCTGTCATCTTGCATATGACATCTCATCTGATCCTTGCAACAACACTGTGAGGTGGATTTTAGTAATGGGCAAAAATCATCCTTAACCACGGAAACACTCTTAGAGAATACGGGTGCAAAGTCATTCAGTTTGTGCACTGAGGAGTATGAAGCAGAGTGGACAGTACGTTCAGAAAGGTAAGTTGGCGGCTGGATGTAAAGGCCTTTGGACGCCAGTCAAGAGAGTTTGGGTTTTGTTCCTTGGTGAAGGGGAGATGCTCAAGTGTTTCAAAAGGAGTCAAGAGTGATCAGGACTGGGCTGTAGGGAGCTGTAGCTGGAAGCCTATAAAGACCAGACAGGCAAATGACACACTTTGATGAGTCAGGTGGGCCTCTCCCGGCATCTGCATCTAAACAGAGTAAGTAGGGGATGCGTCCTTGTGCCTGCACAGGCTTGGGGATGGGGTAACAAAAAGAGTCAACCTGCTTCCTGTTATTTAGAGGGTAGAACTGAAAAAGGATAGACCGTGGACAATCAAAGCTTTAGATATATAAAGAACAAATGGCTTGGAGTCAAAGAGACCTTGGTTTCAATCCCAGTTCTGGGTGTTCTGGAGCAGTTTACTTATGTAACCTTGCTGAGCCTTTGATTCCTATGTTAAAATGGGGCTAATAACGCTCACCTTAGAGGATGGTTGTGAGAATTAAGTGAGACACAAGACAGAGGTCTTGGGGCAAGAGTCAGAAAAGCAGGACCCGGCTCCCTAGGAGAAAGATCTTTAGTGGTGGGCTGCTCTCCTAGCTCGTGTGCTCCTTGTTGCCAGATAAATTCAAACAGGGGCTGGAAGGCTCCTTGTCAGGAGGGCCGTAGGAGGGGTTCTTGCATCCAACAGGTGCTTGTGTCACATGACCTTTAGGGTCCATTTCAAGTTCTACTTTTGTTCTCTGCAGGTTTTCTCCTGCTTTCACAGGTTCTCCTCCTCTCCCCCACCCCGCAGTGATAGCATCTGGCAAAATTCATAGGCAGAAAATAGCTATCTAGACCTACAGAGCTAATAAGTGTTGAAACCACAGGAGGCGTAAACTTTTCCATTAAGCCAGCTAGAATCCAGGGTAGTGGGTAAACTCTGGGTATCTGCTCAGCAGGTATCCTATTTCGCTTCTGCTGCATTGTCCTGATCCTTTGGGGCTTGCCCAAGATACCAAGGCCAGTGGTTTCAATATATTTATCTGAGTGTTAGACCCTCTTTTTAAAATGAAGCATTATAGTGGAGCCTAAATGTAGAACAGAGAGGAGCTGTAACACTAAGGTGGAGGGAAAGCTGGGGTGGAGAGGAGACTGAAGTCTCCCTCACTGGTTCCTTCCTCACCCACTCTGGAACCCCTGGTTTGAACCCTACTGACCCAGCCCTGGACTGTTTTCAGCTTTCCTTTTGAGTCTTTTGTTTTCTGGACTCTGATGGCAGCTGTTATCACTCCAGCTGCAGAGGGGATGGGAGGCAACTTCCTGTTATTTTATCCTGCCATCTCTGTGGCGGTGGGACATTCCCTCCCCCATCTGCTGCTGGTTGTAGGCTGTGAGCCTGGATGCAGCCACCCTGTGACTGGGGCTGGAAGAATGATGGTAGCCACCCAGCCACGGCTGAAGGCACTTAGGGAGCAAGGCAGGCAACAGGTACAACAGACAAGTGTGTCCCTGACTGAGGGAGAGGGAATGATGAGTGGCTAAGAGGCAGGTTAAGTGGCTGGTGCAGAAAATATCTGAGGGGGTTAAGGGTTGTTGCATGAATGGTGGGAGAGTGGGAAAAGGGAAGGACTGTGGCCAAAGCATAAAAAGAGAGAGAGAGAAAAAAAAAGAGATAATTATGGTTTCTGGCTATAAGATTATTTGCAGGTAGGGTACCTTTAAGGAATGGAGGGGGTTAGAGGTGACATGATGATAAATTTTCTGTAGTCCTGTATTTTTATTGAGTTTTTTCCTTGAATTGGGTATAAAGGATACAAAGAGGTATTAAGTATGGAGCTTGCTCTTCAGGGTTTGGGAAGATAGGAAATGTATACAACTGGACATATATAATCATATGTTTACACATCTATACAGTCTCAATTAACCTTTGATGTGAGTATTATCAGCCCCTTTTTACAGAAGAGGTAATTGAGGTTTCTGATGGTTGTTTTAGTGACTTGGCCAAAGTTACACAGCAAGTAAGTGGCAGAACCCGGCTATGGACCTCAAGCCCTTTTTCTGTCCACTGTAGCACACAGTGAGGACAAGGACTTTAATTAGGCTTTGAGAGAAAGGTGTGACAGCACATAGAAGAATGGGGATTCCACGTAGGCCAGAAGGTGAGAATCAAGTGGGGATCTGTGAGTAGACCAGTTTGACTGCAGCAGAGGATTTCCCAGGAGTGAAATAGAAGATAAGGTGGGAAAGGTAAATAGAGGCCAGATTAGGGAGAGTTTTAAATGGCTAAGAATTACAGGGAAAAGGGGGCCCAATGTGGAGGGGAAGATATTGATGGCAAAACCAAATAGTGTTTTTAAAAACTCACTTGGTAGTGGTGCATAGAAGGACCAAGAGCTGGGGGAAAATGGCATCAGAAATATGTTAGGAGCTTGGAATTGTGTAGGTCTGAAAAACAGCACCATGGTACTAATATAGAGTGGGTCTGTGGATTTTTTTTGCATGACAGTGTTTGAATGGGTGTAGATTGTGAGCAATCACCACTTAGAGTAAAGAGAAAAAAATGGCTTTGGGGTCACATGGGCCTCAGTTTCAACCCCAGTTCTGGGTGTTCTGAAGCAATTTACTGCCGTAATCTTGCTGAGCCTTTGATTCCTTATGTTAAATGGGGCTAATGATACTCGCTCTACAGGATGGTTGTGAGGATTAAATGAGACACGATGTTGGACTCCATGCATCCTTTTACAGTTTTTGGCAGAATGGTGAAATGCATGACATGTTGTCATGCATCAAAAAACAGACAATAAAGGGGACGGCCGGTGGTGTAGTGGTTGGGTTCGGGCGCTCTGCTTTGGCTGCGTGTGGTTCACGGGTTCAGACGCCAGCATGGACCTAGGCACAACTAATCAAGCCATGCTATGGCAGTGTCCCGTATGCCACATAGTGGAAGATGGGCAGTTGAAGATGGGCACAGATGTTAGCTCAGAGCCAATTTTCCTCAGCAAAAAAGAGGAAGATTGGTAAAGGATGTTAGCTCACGGCCAATCTTCCTCACCAAAAACAAAAAAAAACAAAAAAACCCAGACGATAAAAACCAACAGAAAGTCAATAATTAATTCATTGTCCTTCCAGAAGATGATGGATAATGCGTTACTTATATCTCATGTCAATAGAGCCACTTTTCACCGTTCAGTTCTGCATTGAATCGGATATTGGGCATATTGAAAGGACCATCTCCTGAGAAGCATTCTGTTCTGCTAGCCAAGGGGACTATACAGCATGATATCCGTCAAGCTTAAATGTTAGTTAATTCTTAATTGATAGCTCAGCCTCTGCAACTGCTTCTATTCAACAGTAATTATTCTCATGTGCCTCGTTGAACTCAATTGTGAGATCCTCCCCCCGCCCCCCGCCCGCCGCCGCCCCTTCAGTTGTGCGTGAAAACAGCAGCCTTAAGGTCCTGAGTAAGGTAAATAGTAATTTTTCTTACTTTGGAGGTTCAATTTTATTTGCCTGAAAGCTCGGGTGGAGTGATTTTCATCGCTAAACGCAAAAGCAGCCACATGGTTGATAACGCCACCAGTTAACAATTCATTGCTGAGTCGCCGTTTCTGAGATTCCTTTCCAAATCTTCCCAAGTGCTTTTGAAGTTGTAAATTCCTCGTCTAAGGGAACACTCAGCAGTCTCCAGATAAAAGGGTAGAAGAGCGAGCTGGCGTTTTCCTTTATTTGCATGACTTCAAGCTAGCCATTTTCCGCTCCACGCGCCGGCAGACCGTACTTGTCCGTGACACAGAGGCAACTGTTTTTCCTTAAAAAGGGGGCACGGGTGGGTTAGTTTCGTTTCTGATCTGGGATATAGTAAATACGCCAAGAAAAGTTAACAGGACCCGCAAGGTTCTTCCCCCATCCCATTATCTCCTTTTCCTTAGAGATAGCAGGAAAGGCAGCATTTTTTTTTCCATCAGCACCCACTTCCAGCCCTAGTCTGGCTCAGCGAGGAATGTATAAAATTAGTTGACTCCTCTGAGTGACTGTCCCCGGGCCCAATCAGCGGGAGCCCGGGCGCGGCCGACCCCACCCCCTTGCGGACTCTCTTTGGCTAATTCCTGCAGGGAGGGAGGAGAGAAGGCGGCAGTGGGAGGAGGAGGTACCTGGAACTGGGAGTGATGTCAGCTCCCAGCTCCGAGCCTGCCCGGATTCCTGACATGGTGTAGGGCCGAGAGGGTGGGGAAGGCGGGAGCCGGACGGCAAAGGATTGGGGTTTGCGAGCCTGCTGCGGGGCTCGAGTGTTGGGGCTTTGAACTCCGACGGAAGGTGAACCAGAACTTCTGGAACTAGTGCCAGCGGCTCTCCACCCCCCAGGTAAGGGCGTTCGGCTCCACTCGGAGACCGGAGGGAAGTGGCACCGTTGTGTGGTTGCAGCTGGGTGTTGCAGCTGCTCCTCCTCTTCCCCGGGTCGATTTCCTTTTCCAACTCACTCCTGTTTCCCAGTGGGAAAGGGCACTTTTGGTGGTGCACGGGGTAGGGCTTACTCCTGGGGTCCCGACTAGTTTATATGTGAAAAATACCTCCAGGATTGGACATGTAAGGTCTTGTCTGTGTCCTTAGACCCCCGCACCCTAGTCTCTCTCCCAGTAATACTTGAGAACCCCAATCAGAGAAGTGTGTGTCTGTGTCTGTGTGCGGGTGTGTGTGTGTGTGGTTATTTAAAAATGTCACAAAAAGTTATGAAATGTCGACTCAAAAATTATGCTCTTTGAGACAGAACAAAAGTTTTGTGTTTTTTAGTTCCCCTGTGACCTATTACATACTGATTTAAATGAAAGAGTATTATGGTTATTCTTATACAGTCTTATATATCAACATCATAAATCCTTTTATATAGTCCAGTCAGGATGTGAGAAACTCACTTGGGGTGTATTAATTATGAGCTTGTGGGAGAACCCGTCTCTTGGGGGCACACTTCTAAAACTCCAACTCTTTTTCACTCTTATGTTTTAATTGAGTGCCAACTTGGTGATCTGGAGGGTTTGGGAAGGCTGCTGAGAATCTTCATATCTGTTTTCTGTGGCCACTTGAGAAAAGGATCAGGGCTGGTAGTTGTGTTTTCAGGGATCATTTTTAGAGAAGAGAGTTTTAACAGGGAAATGTGGCCAGAAGGTGTGGCACACAAACTCTTAATTATAGGAACATGAATTTTTCAACATGTGGAGCCAAAACAAATCCTTCCTTTCAGTAAGAAAGTGCAAAGAGCAGTAGAAGGAGAACTTGATTTAGCGTTCCAGTTTGGCATTTAGGGAAAGCAGTTGCCTGTTGGGAGGAAGATTTTCAGAAGTGGAAGTATAGAATTCTGATTTTTTTATTTCCTGTTTCAAATCCTTTCTTTCTCCTGCTGGGAGATTTTCTGTGCCCAGGTCACTAACTGGGTGTGACTGACTTTCAGGGGCAAAAAGTTAACTCCATCAACTGATTCAGAACCCTCACTTATCAGTGCTTAAGGCTCTGGAGAAGAAAAAAAATGTATGGGTGAGATTCTTGAGTCAAGTTCCTTTTTCTTTCACCTCTGTTCCTCAGCAGTGAGGATCCTTCTGTTACCAGGTCAGGAGGAAACGGGCAGGCGTGGACTCTATTGTGAGTCAAGGCTGCATCCCAGGTGCCTGAATGAAAGGGCATTTCCAGATGAGGAAAGAAAGAAGCCACAACATTGCATCTAAGAAACCCAAGTCGGGAAGTGTGAAGTTACAGGACTTTATAAATGGAATTCTCCATCTTTCTAGCCAGATGACAGGTTTCAGGGCTGGAAAGAAGTGTTTTGTTTTGCTGTTGTTTATAAAACACCCGGGTCTGTATTGTTCTTAGTTCCTAAAAGAATGAAATAGTACAGGGTGGATAAAAGCAGGCTCTTTGCAAAGGGAAGGTGTGCTCTACTGGAAAGGCCAGACCATTTTAATTTTGGTTTGTGTTTTGGGTTAGGAAACAGAAATTGCCTAATGGCTCTGAAATAATGGTGAACAAGTTTTTTCTATTTATATTCTATAGGAAGTATGTAAAACATACTGTATTTTCCAGGGTACTTTTTCAGTAGGATGGAGAAGGAGATGATGTGGAATTCCTGTGGGCTGATGTGGGCTCTCTGGAGCCTGTGGCTGATGAGGTGTTCAGACTGCAGTCCCTCATAACCAGTCAAGTAAGGAGCATCTTTATGATGTTATCCTGATGTACCAAATTCAGATTTACGCTTTCTTTCCAAAAAACCAGCCCTGGCTTAGGGACTTGATTATGCCGAAGCTTTAAATTTTATTCACAGTTTGAGTAATAACAGTCATTTTACATGCTTAGATTTAACCAGTATTTCTCCATCTTGGTCCATGTTTATGAGGTAGATGTGGTGTAGTAAAACACGGTACTTTTAAAGGATAAAATTTGAAAGACCTATGTGTTGTTGAGAGAGGTAGAATCAGGTTTTGGTTAAATTCTCTTTGACCAGCAGCTATCATAGTTCTAGTAGCTGCTTTAAAACAATAGGATAATCTGGCCTTTGTGGACAAATGTTGACTTGAGATCCAGGCACAATATAGTTCCAGATCAGTAGTGCCTAATTTCAAGGGCATCGTAAACATTTTTTGGAAACAAGTTCGGTGAGAGTTCATTAACTCTGTTCTGGTTATGGAGTCTTTGTCACTCTTTGTACCAACATGAAATAAATCAGAACAAGGTCATTTTTCCCCTAAGTTATTGACTAGCTGACTTGTTTTTAAGACCAGTCTTTCATATTCATGAAATATTTGTATTTTTGTACTTAATTTAGAGTATGTTGGTAATTTGTTACATTAAAATTACCTTTTTGAGTTTTTCGTCTCCCATTTTTAAAAGTACCTATATCCCAAATAGCACGTTTTTCAAACTGTTAGTGGAAAGAAGACCTCATTCATCATTCTGTCTTTTCAAAGATATTATTACATGTTTCTGACCTGGTTTTGAATTACGTTTTCAAAACAATGAATGGATGAGGGAATGAGTGAATGTATACCCATTCACATTTGGGTCTGTGTATTGATTCTTTATTAAAGAAACACTGCTTCAAGGTGAAAACATAGGCAAGAGATATTGCACAATGGTGATTTCTTATTCCCAGAGTTTTCCCTAAAAAGTCGTATTAGTTCTGAAATTAAGGGGAGAAAAATCACAGTTGAGCAGCCAATTGTGAAATTTTTCAGGGAGCCGTGATTATGATTATGTTTTAACCATGATTGAACAGATGAATTTAAGTATGAAATTCAAAGCTGTTAAGGTTAGCAACGCTGGGTGTTGTTTGGGGATAAGGGGAACAAAGTGTCTGTCTTCTGGCTGGCATTTCCTTTCAACTAAAGGTTAATAATTTCACAATTAAATCTGTTGTCAAACTGTCCAAAAATTGACACCATCCAAAAACTGCTCTGGGCTTGTGCAGTTCCTTGAGTCTGTATTATGTCATTTGTTTCTCAAAGTCATCGCAGTGCATGTTAGAACCCTTTTCCCAGTTAAAAAGCCTACAGCTTTTGTCACATGTATCACCACCACAAAGACTGATGCTTTATTAAATGGAGCTAGTGACTTAAAAAAGCTAAATTGAACTAACCCACCCTACAAAATACAAAAACTCTTGTATTTCCTTTACACTTTTTATTTTAAATATAGTAATTATTCATGCCAGGTTGGCATTAGTTGATAATGTTTCAAAAAGCCAAGTAGTGAGGGTTTCTTTTACTTAAATATTTTTTTCCACTTTGAAGGATCTAAAACACCCAACAACTGGATTTTAGATTAAAAAATGGGCCCTTGCCAGAGTTTTAAGTTTGCACACTTCTTAGGCAGTTTTAGGGGTGGAGGTAGGTCTGAGTGAAACGTGTACCAGTCTGTACTCGTTAAAGAGCTTCTATTTCTGAAATGTGGGTTTGGACTCTGAGTGGCCCAGGTGGGTGTGTTGTCAGTTTGTGACTGAACTTTGGTTATGTGTCTCCCTAGAACTTGGTGTGACTCACGTTTTGACTGGCCCACATGCACATCCTTGTTTTTGTTGGCAAACGTAGTGAATGCAGAATAGAAAGATCATTTGGTGGTTTCTGTACAGTGGTGCACCTAAAGATGTCCATGACTGAGGGAATTTTACAAACTTGAATTGCATTGAATATCCATCATTCTGGCAAAGGCTCATGTCTCAAATACGGATCGTGGAGGAAGAAGATCAAGTATTATAATGTTTGGGGTTGGCTGTAGATTTTATGGACACCCTCTGAACTCCAGAGTAAGGCTAATATTTTCACCTCTCCTTTAATTTAGGGAAATCAAGCATTTGACATAAAAACAGATGCAAGTTCAAGGTGGCAGATGTGCTGATTCTTAGTGTGTGTGTGTTAACAAGGGCAAACTTAATTTTACCTGGTGAGAGAGAGAGTAAAGATGCCATTTTCAGTGGCAGGTCCCTCCCCATTCATAAATAAGTGGCCAAATTCTTTAGGCAAGCAAGGTAATTCTTGGGAAGAATTAGGTAGGCCCATTGGGAAGTGTATTAATTCTTCCATGCTATAAATGTAATACTCTATCATATCACTAAATATGCCTATGTTATCTTGTATTTCTGTGCCTAGGATCTAGCTCACAGAAGTCCTTTTTTTCTGGCTCTTTGTCATGCTTCTCTCCATCTATAGTACTTTGCACAAATGTCATCTCACCACCGCGGAGTTTTATGAGGAAAGTTTATCGAATTTATTTGGAAGAAAGTGAAAACAAGACTAAAACTCTATTGCCTACTTTCTTAATATAATAACTTGATAGTGTGGCTGCAGTTGCATAAATAATGTCCCTTCAACTATTATCTTTTTCTAAAGATGCTGCTTCTCCTAACAACACGTAGTAAAGAATTTTATTTTCTTTGAACACACTCTACTTTTTCTTATGAATGATAGAAGAGTCACATGAGCCTGTAGGTTCTCATCTAAATTAACTCTGGGAAGTGAGTGAATGGGAGGAAGGGAAACAGTGACAACTCAGAGGAAACACTCTGGTTGAACCTGTGAGTCTGCCAGGACGATTTGTGTGAAGTCACCTGGGTCTCAGTGTTTTTCCTCTGGAGCAGCTGCTTAGATGCTTTTGTAAAACTTTCGCATTCTTTGGGCCTCCACCCCCTCAGTGTGTGACTTTGCACAACCAAGAAGGCTTTGAAACACAGATTTGAGGTTCTTTTATTGCTTTTCTCTCCCCAGGGTACCTTGATTCTCTAGGATGACTTGCACTCTCCATCACCCTGTGGGGCAGACACAGCTAGATGCCCAGCCAACCAATATCCATCCCGCCCCCTTCTTCCCTACAGCTGAACGCATTTT